ATTTCCGAAATATCAAACTGATCTTGCTTGTAATGTTGCTGCGTATTCTAGCGGTGGGACGCTAGATTATCTGGTAGCTTAGTGCTATATTAAAACGCTAGATAGCTATTAAAGCCTTGTACCGATGGACAAAAACATTTATGTAAAATATTCAACAATTCTAACTTATTGTTGTGATACGTATCTTGTGATAACTTTATGTGTAAATTTGCTTTACTGTTAGTCGACATTGTTGTAAATTTTAAATAAATTATCAGATCAGATAGAATTTCATTCAACATTACAGGTTCCTATAGTCATTTGGCAGTATTTTCTAAATTAAAATGAATAACATAGTTTCTTTCTTTAAAAACATTAAATTATCTACACTACCAAAAAAAATATCCTAATTCCAAAGACTATTATTACATATAACTTATATGAAGAAATGGACTCATATATTTCTAAAAACTGAGAGTTTTCTGTATTATTTATTATATACGAAATGTAAGTTCTATATGAATACAAACTGAATCAATATTTAGCGTTATTACTTTTTTCAAGTTAATGAATAATATTACGGTTGGGCGGCGTATATTATTTACTAATATGGGAATTATACCAACTAAGAGGGAATTTGGCAAACTGTAGCAGAATTAATTTCCTGTTTCAAGTTCAATTTCAACTTGATCTCGTCTATCAATCTTGTTAAAATTTGGTCAAAATATCTAGAAAAACTTTATAAAACTAAGGAAATATCAAAAGTCTAAAAAAACTTCGTAAAAGTTTTTTTCTTCCGATTTTTGATTTTGAACTATCGGTTGTGTGGAGAGTAGCGAGTTACCGAATGTAGCCTGTCGACTAGTTCAACTTTTTTCTTTTTTTTTAAATTAAATTTATTTATTAAAACTGGTGTTATTAGACCAACCATAAGTTTACAATAATATCATACACTAAATAAATGTTTACATTCTTATAAACCCTCTGGTACAATAAGATTTACATTTCACTATTCAGTATCCACTATTAATTTTGAACTACATAAGTTCATATGGCTTTGTTCTTTTCAATCTTTTGACCATGTGTCGGTTATGTAAAAGTTTGGTCGCTTCCACATTCTCGTGCTGGCTGAGGCGAGTCTGGTGTTTGGCGGCTAATCTTTGTATTTCCGTCGTGACTTCAGGGTTCTTAAGATCCCTATGTAAGTCCTTATTTCTTATGTACCAAGGTACATTGACCATGTTACGTAAGATTTTATTTTGGAGTGTTTGTATGATTTTGATATTGCTGTGTTTGGTACAACTCCATAGTTGAATACCATATGTCCACATAGGCTTACTGACTTAATTATATAAAAATATTTTATTTTGTATAGCAAGATTGAAGCCACGTACTTTTTTCTTCATGTGATCTTTTCATCTCAGCTTGGTATCTAAGGTCATTCCCAGATATTTAGCTGTATTGCTGTGTGGCATAGTAGTTCCATCGAGTGTGAGCTCGGAACATGGTCCATCTTTTTGTTTCTAAAAATTAGATGAACTGATTTATTCTGATTTAGCTTGATTTTCCATTTTTTTGTCCATTCGTTTATCCTATTACATGCACTTTGGAGGATTTAGGTTGAATGGGTGATAGTCGGTCCTAGTGATATCACCGCTGTGTCATCTGCAAACATAGCAATTCTAACTGCATCTATTTTCGGAAAATCACTCGTGTATAACAAATAAAGCAGTGGACCATATTTGCTACCTGTTTTTAATGTTGAATATTGTTCTTCTTGTTTGACTCTAAACAAGTTCTAGTTGTTGAGTCTAAACAACAACGATAAAATCAGTTAGGCAGAAACTGATAATATCGACGTACTGCTTTGGTAGCATACCTGTTAGTTTATTGATGAGCCCTTCGTGCCAGACCTTGTCAACAGCTTGTGAGACATCAAGGAACATAGCAAAACAAATTTGTTTTTCTTCAAGAGATTTTTCTATTACGTCCGTTACTCGGTGAATTTGGTCTATAGTTGAATGTCTTGTGGTCAGGAATGATTTTCTTTTTTCCTACGATGTGTTTTATTCGTTTTAATAATAACTTTTCGACGAGTTTAGACACTGTCGGTAGTAGCGATATTGGTCTATATGATTTGACCTCGTTCACCGGTTTTCCCGATTTCTTTATCATAATGACTTCTGTGAATTTCCAGATGCTGGGAACATATTTCAGTCTGATTGCAGCATTAAATAGGTATGTTAGTTTAACTATACCCTTTTTTGGCAATTGTTTTAGTATTTCTCCGGTGATAATGTCATATCCTGGAGTCTTTTTAGCAGGTAAATTTTTCATTTCTTGTGCTACTTCTGTAGGTGAAACTAGCTTTATATTTTCTCTTGTGGTGTGGTTGTTACTTCAAGTAAGTATTGTATAGCATCAATCATCAAGTGTCAGTAGTACTGTTTACGCCGTAAGGATTACTCGGGATAAGATTTCGGAAAACCCCCCGCTATGTTTCCGGCCTCGTCGTAGGCCAGATCGAGGCTTGAATTCGTCGTGTCGTCGTCTTGAGCAACTGTAATTTTATATAAGTCGTGACCCAGCTTAAAGTTTATTTTATTTCGTTTATTGTCTCCATTTTATGAATTTATCGTCGTCATCGCTCCTGTTGGTGAAGTGAAGACATCTGCGTGGTGAAGGTCCCCCGTCCCGACTTTTCCTGTCTTTCCGACCATTTTCCTCCTAGCATCCCCCTTTACCTCAGTTGAGGTCCTTACGCCGAGTATTTGCCGGCTTCGCTCCGTGGAGACGGGCGGGGTTACTTAATGAATTAAGAATAATGCACTTAATATTAAATAAAAAAAAAAAATGGGCGCCACGCTGTTTATATACACGGAAACAGCGAACCGTAAAGAAAAAAAAAATAAAAGGAAACAAAGAAAATTCAATAACAGTAAAATTAACAAAAAAAAGAACACAATATTTACATAAGGAAACAAAAAACACATTTATTCCAATGGAAACTAAAATATTAAACATAGATTAATATTAATTCTCTACGGGTAACATTTTAACAAACTTACACACTAAATGAGCCTAAATTATCATAAAAGCTAAATAAACATTCCTTAAAAACTAAAGTTTCGTGGGAACAGTGTCCAGATAGGCTTCTTTTCCAGGCGATTGAAAATCCCCGCTTCTAGGAATGTGGAGCACCATCTCTGAAGTTGAGTGGGTCCGCGATCGCCTTCGTTGATCAAGGAATTGATGATTTTCTTTGCTCCGGCCAGGCCGTAGGCCAATTTGAAGTAGCAACAGGCCAATGTCACTAACTCGCAACTTTCGACTCAACCGAGGCTTCAGTTTGGATAAATTGAAAAAAAAAGATACTTTTCAAATGTTTTTTTAGACTTTTGATATTTCCTTAGTTTCATAAATTGTTTGTGGATATTTTGACCAAATTTTATGAAGATTGATACAGGGAATCAATTTGAAGTAGCAACAGGCCAAATTCGCTAACTCGCAACCGAGGCTTCAATTTGGATAAATCGAAGAAAAAGATAATTATCAAAAGTTTTATTAGACTTTTGATATTTCCTTAGTTTCATAAAGTGTTTGTGGATATTTTTACCAAATTTTATGAAGATTGATACACGGAATCAATTTGAAGTAGCAACAGGCCGAAGTCGCTAACTCGTAACTCTCGACTCAACCGATGCTTCAATTTGGATAAATTGAAAAAAAAGATACTTTTCAACAGTTTTTTTAGACTTTTGATATTTCCTTAGTTTCAAAAATTGTTTATGTATATTTTGACCAAATTTTATGAAGATTGATACACGGAATCAATTTGAAGTAGCAACAGGCCGAAGTCGCTAACTCGCAACTCTCGACTCAACCGAGGCTTCAATTTGGATAAATAAAAAAAAAGATACCTTTCAAATGCTTTTTTAAACTTTTGACTTAGAATAGATTTAGTTACTTATAATAGCAATTAAAAATTTAAAAATTACCTACTTTATATTCTTTCAAATACAAAAATAAGAACTAAGCAAAGACAGGTTTTACAAAACCAAGCAGAAGCATGAGATTCACCTAAAAAAATGGAGGACTCAGTCTGACTTCGATGTTCTAATTGGACAAATTGGGGAAGTTCAATTTTGTAAATAACAATCCGATGACAGATGTTTGGCTTTATTTCTGTAATAAGAAGATAAATAAAACCCTGAGGATGAATATCCCAAAATAAATTTATCCTTGATTGGTTTCCAGGTGAGACAACTATGTCTCATCGTGTTTCTTGTCCGTCTGTCTTTTGGTCGTAAAACAATTCACTGTTTGGGTTACATTTAAACCAAAGTTCAAACAAAATGTTATTTTCTTGCTTACACATTTAAATTTAAAGCAATATTTCACACAAGTAACGATAAAAAGATTTTATTTAATTTTATTTATTTCTTTAAGAGTTTTTTAAAATTACATATGCCTAAAGATCAATTGTGAATAGTGATTTCTTTAACAAAAATCCAAAACTGTCTTTCTGCTCGTTTCAAACTTTCCATTTTTTTAATATTAGATGATTAGATATTTCTAGTCTGATTAAAACCATTCAGTTCTTCTTTGCCTACAAAACTCTGCTATGTTGACAATTAACAGCCAGACATGTCTCTGGAATTGTCTATTCAAGAGAATGCAAATCCTTTGCGTGCCACTCCATAGTCAGACGACTGAGGTGCAAATAAATCTTTAATTATGCTTTGTACCAGGGCTAATTTTTACTCAGTCACAACGTTAAGAGGTTTTTTTTAAATATTTTAGAGGTTAAAAATCAGTAGTGTTGAAAAATAAATCATTGATGCGTTCAATCAATAATATTTCTCAAAACAAACTTTCTATTCTGGGATATAAATATATTGCTTGTATACTACAGAGCATTTATTTATTTGGTTTAGTATTATTAACTTCCCAAATTTATATTTTTACATATTGTTTGAACTTATTAAACATTAGGTTATGTAAAATATAAAAACGTCATATGTTTAGCAGTTTTATTTTCTGATAAGAAGTCTTTTACAAAATATTATTTATACATTATTAATTTTTTATACAATGTCAGATCCAAAGCTAACTGTGCTTCCCCTGATCCCAAAAGGAGTTGAAGGCAAGTCATGGAGAACTCTCGACTCCACTCCTGTATTGCAAGAAACACTTCGAGACTTTCTAGAAGAGGACATTACAAGGTGTCGTATGAAAGAAAGGGAAAAGGTAAGAAGAAACGGTTTAATGCCCATCTCTTTTGTAAAATATAATACATTGTTTTTGTTTTGTTTTTAGATCGTAAAAGAATACATACCTGCGCTCCAGCAAATTGGCGAAGTCGAAAACCAGATGCTTGCAGTTCAAGCAGTGAATGCAAGAACTCTGGAGCGGCATGATGATAAGGAACTAAAGTTACAATGCCCAACCTTGCCAAAGTCAATCAATCTCGTAAATCTTCCAAAAGTCGGAAGAGCTAAGTACAATTTGCTGACAACCGCTGAAATTCAAGAAACGATCTGTAATGAATTAGGTAACAAGGCGTATTTCATCAAAAGCAATAATAATAATTACTAAACAACAGTTAGCTCATATAATTCATATTCTGTCATCAGGAGATCCATCTAGATGGGCACTAAAAGATTTTCCTAGTTTCTCTAAAAACGAACTGCTTGGTACTTATGAAAGAAAAAAACAATTGGAACCATGGTAAAATTAAAATGTACTAAAATTGTATCATTTTAATCACAATTTTTTTGACAGCTCTGAAGGTTTCAAGAAAAGAGCGAAGGCTAAAAAATACAAAGCAAACCCGGTTTTTGAATTTTCACCCAAAGAGATTCATTTCACAGAGCATCAGATTGGAGGGCGATATATTGTAAATGGCTAATTAATATAATTGGAATTAATAATTTTATTACACTATAATGTTGTATATTTTAAAGAAAAAACTAAATATAATGAACCGCTCAGCAAGATCGGTCAAATTTTATGTGACACTATCTGACTCTTCCAAAGTGTTTGATGTACAATATGAAAATATGGATGCTATGGTTATGCTTGCATCAGGACAGTATGTTTCAGTCCGGATATTGTTTCGCTGTTTAGATTTAGACGACTATTACAATTCTATCCAAATTGAAACAGTCAGAGAAGGAGTAGCAGTTTCAAATGAGAGAATTTACATTCCAGTGACTGCAATACGATTACCACCTGCACTTATAAGTAAGTTAAAAAATTTGTTTAAAAAAAATTAATTAGACACTAACCAAATTTAATTTTTAGCTGAAGAATTGCTCGCAAAAAAATCTCTCAACAAATCAGTGAGGATTTCACAAAGTTTTACTCTTGACTGTGGAACTAGATTGATAGGAAGTACATATAACATAAAAACTTCCCTTTATAATATCGGAAGTTGTGGTACCTTTTTCATTTCTTCTGAATACACCTGGGAATTTACTAATGTGCAGGTGATAACATAAATCAATTACCTTTCCAAATTCATTTTATTCTCATACATCCCAACACCGTCTGACTTCTAACATGTAACATCTATCCTCTGTTTTTTGCTGTGTAAAATATATTTTAATACATACAGCAAATAAAATATCTAACATAAGAAAACTATTCCAGGATATGAATCAGAACAATGAAATTATACTTAATGCTTACGAAGTGTTTCCAGCATTTTTTTGCCTCCGACAATTTGAAAAAATTGCAGTCAGCGTTACATACAAGCCAATGTGTGAAGGATTACATGTTGAAAAATTATTCATCGTCTGTGATAATTTAACTTTAAGAGTAATTGATATGATAGGAGAGGCTGTCCTTTTTGCTCCGAATGACTTCTGCATCAAGGTAGAAAAATCATTTCTTTTTAGAAATAAAGCTTTATAAAACTTCAAATTTAAAGGCATCACCGAAAGATTTTGACATCGATGAGAGTGACTTATATGAAGCATCAATGTATATTAATTTTGGAACAGTGTATCCTGGAGGTTCGTCCGATGGCCACTGCAAAATATTCTCCGAGAGGTAAACTATTTTAATATAGTCTATTAAATTTTTAAATGATAAAAATTTTCAGCTTGGTTGATATTGAGTTCGGTTGGAATATAATTCCATTATCATCTGAAACGGGCGTCAATACAATAGAATCAAAAAATATTACGATTTCTCCTTGCCAAGGAATTTTATGCTGTGATAATTCACCAGTGATTGTATACTTTCAAGTCTGTATGAACAATTGCAAACCTGGCCTTTATAAATCTGGTTTAACGTAATATTCACAAATTATTTACTGACTGATTTTATTTTTTACTTTTATTTTCCTCTGACAGATTAATGGCATACAATATACCAAAAATTTCAGTTGTAAACAAAACAGTTTTGACTTTTCCAAATGATTCAAATCCGGTAATTATTCAATACTCTTGATTGAGTTATTTTTAAATTTCATAATTTTTCCTTTCATTTTTAAGATGCTGTGGACCAATGTTGAAATATGCTATTTGGAACTATCCGTGACGGTCAAAAATCCGTACATCGTCATAGACCCAATCCATGTCGATTATACAGATTATATATACAAGTAAGAATTTTAAATATTGCCATTTTCCAACAATTTCCAACAGAACAATTCTAATTTCAGGACTAACTTTTATTACCTGACAGTAACGAATAACAGTGCATACCCTGTCAATGTATCTTGGTATGTTCCACAATCAAACTCTGTAATAATGCACATAACACCTAAAGAAGCCGAATTGGAAATTCATGCTATAACACAATTTACATTGGAAATTACTGGTATTGAAAGTTCACCAATAGAAGAGGTTCTCCAGTACGTATGAGGGATTTTTCTTTATGTATTTAAACATATATGCAACTTAATGTGTCTATATATCTGCATTCGGCAGTTCAAAGTTTTGTCCACCAGTCTTGATCTTTTTATAATTTGTTGAAAGCCAAATAAATTGTAAGGGCTGTTTGACTGCATTCTATATCATCATTTACTCCTAAGAGAATAAATTTTTATGTCATAATGAATGCCGAAGCATGTCTGATAGAAATAAAACAGTCAATGTCACGAGCGGGATTCGAACCCACGATCTTTGGCTAGATACGCCGCTGCTCTACCACTTGAGCTATCGTGACCTCGATCCACTCGGACACTAACTTACCATCTCAACCCCACCTTTTGAATTTTCCCTCCTTTTTGCCATTTATCAAATGTCGTGTAATCTATTTGCTTCTATCTCAACTAAAAACCTTAATTAATTGGAAGATATTAGTTGGTCAAGCGGACCACGAAAACTAGTGAATTTAATAAGTAAAAATGAAGTGTACCTTCACTCAAGCCGTGGCCATTTTATTTGTCGCCGAGACTCAAATAGATTACACGACATTTGAAAAATGGCAAAAAGGAGGGAAAATTCAAAAGGTGGGGTTGAGATGGGAAGTTAGTGTCCGAGTGGATCGAAATCACGATAGATCAAGTGGTAGAGCGCGGCGTATCTAGCCGAAAATCGTGGGTTCGAATCCCGCTCGTGACACTGACTTTTTTATCTCAACTAAAAACCTTAATTAATTGGAACTATCTATAACTATTAATTACTTGTAATGGATTTCAGGTGTTTTGTAGCTCAGGGTAAAAAGACTTTCAAATGTGTTGTTCATGGAAATGTTTTAACAAAATCAGTAAACTGTCCATATTTGGCATACAGTTACGGAGGGGTTCAGAATGAAACTGTGAAGTCTTTTCCAATTTGGTTGAAAGCGGAAAACACCAATTTGGTAAAAAAAAATAATAAAAAATAAATTGTAGGATGATCGTCTTGGTCTGTCTATTTTTGCTTGTTTTGCCCCGATAGATGTATTTCAACTGTCATTTGTTGTTCAAGTCAATTATTGATTTTTTAGTGCATTGACGGGCTGACTGAAGATGGTAAAGTAATTAAAAGCATCTAACAGACCAAATTACTGAGAATAAGAGGACCAGGATGATCATAAAATGTTCAAGCAACTGTTTTGATCACCATATCTCAAATGAAAATAGTTCAGAAAAATTCATTCAAATCACAAACATTTAACCCAAGTCAATTTTTTAGTCAAGTATGGTGGATGGTACTGAAATCACATCAGTTCTGACAAAAGAAGAAGATTTGATATTTTTGGAAAGTTTTAAGAATAATATTGAAAGTCTTCCTTCACCGATAGATGAAAAAGGCCAACAATTCAAATATAACATGAACACAGAAGTAAGTAGTTATTACATACAGAAAAAAAACAACAATAAACTAATTTAAATTATTTCTCACCAAGGAGAAAGGTTTAAAATCAAGCATCATCGAATGGAGATATGGAGACTTTCCAGTCTATACAGACATATTCTATTTTGTACAAAGCGTGTACGTTGAACTTACCCCTCTTCACTACATAATGCCCAGTAGCGTTTATGTATACGTCCCACATGAAATAACAGTCCAGTTAAGGAACTACAGCTTTTTAGAGGCCTCATACACTTGGGGTGCAATGATAGGTGACGACCTGAAAAACGTTTCACTCATGGCTGATAAGTGGAGTGGTAAAATTTCAGGCCATTCAGTTGAGAATATTCAATTCAAGCTTAGGTTCGAGACAGCAGTAAGTTTTCTTTACACACTTAATAATTTATTTGTAATGTACAACTAAACTTTAAAGAAGAAATATTAAATTTTGTATCTGCCCTTCCGCTGAAGTTAGGCTTCATGGGCTGACAACAACAGTTTAGTTCGCAACACATGTAGTTTTTAAACCTTGATACGTTGTCACTCAGTCTCAAAGATATTATTTCCTATTTACATACCATTTACTCAATTACAATGGTGGAGTACTCGATATTTCTCTCTCGCCCTTTTACACATACTATATAATCTGGTAAAATTAAGGGTCAATGGGGTAAATATTCCACCATCGACTTATAAATACATTTACTCTCAACATATACAAAATACGAGATATTTAAACTACCAAGTACTTTATACAATAAAACAACTGTTTCTTCCAAAACTTGGAACACGGGACCCATACTTGCTGAACCAAATTCTCATATTGGTTATATTCCTACATGCTCTGTGTATGTAGCCAAGTAATCACACCCTTCAATTTTTTGAAAAACATTAAATGTGAAGGGTAAGATTTTGATTAAATTATTATTTTAATTTTTAACATTACTCAATTTATATATATATATTTAAAGTTGTTAAACACAATTTAAAAAACAATGATAAAATTAGAGTACAATTATTGAACAATTATGCTATTTATTTATTTATTTATTTATTTTTTTTTTTTTTTTTTTTTTTTTTTTCCGGGGCTTCCGACATCTAGGTCATTTCAGCCCCCACTAAGTCTATATTCTATACACGTTCATACAAATAAATACATTCATACACATAAATACATCCATACAGTACACTCATTCCGTTTGGTCGGTGGAGTACTTGATATTCCTCCACCGACCTACACTAAACTAAACTAGATTGGGGTCGATGGGGTACTTTTATAAATATTCCGCCATCGACCCCGAACACACACTCACCCGCTTTCATCGTTCGAGGGGCGATGATGACGTTATATTCACCCTCACCCNCCCAGTTTTCCTCCTGTACCCTCACAGCTGCAAGACCCATGGACACTCAAGCAGACCGGGAGACCGACACCTCCAGATGAGGACTGTGTGTTGTTGGTGTGGTGTGATGTGCACGGTGATTTGCGTTTGTTATCTTCGGGTTCCGAGGCCCTTGGCCGCGTGCATCGGCCTGTGTGTTGGTGGTGAAATGCTGACGGAAGACCGAACACCGTCCAAGTCTCCCGCCCTCACTCCACCAAGTGTTAGGTGTGGCGGAGTTATGTCCGTACTGGGTCGCCAATCCCAGGACGTGAGACTTTGAGTTCGTCTCAAGAACCTTCCTAGGGACGGTAGCCCTAAGGTGTATATAATGAAAATGTACTTGTGTCAGTGTAGGTGTATGGGTGTGTTATGTATGTGGACGCAGTTTACCCTCATGCTATTTATTTATTAAAAATATATCAGTGTTAGTAAATTAGTATGCAGTTAGTGTGAAAGATGCAATCAATCTTTCACACATAACAATAAAGAACTATAATAATAATATTGTATAAATTAAATAACATACTGTTAATACCTTTTACGGTCTCCATTTCACTTTTAGGTTAAATTATTTTCACATTTTAGTGTTCTCGGCTTCAGTTACTATTGATTTCTGCTGTTTTCATTAGTTGTTGAAAATGTTTATACTGTTCCATGTTAAATAATCACCTGTACAGATAAATAGGACAATATAATAATAATCTATTACCTAATACAGCAAATTATAAATAAAACTATACAAATAAGTTAAAGCAAAATATATCTCCACAAGATTATTATAAATTTTCTGTTGATATTTAGGGAACAGTGCATTTTCAAGTACCGTGTACAATAAAATTCATGAAAAAAGCATTGGTCCTAAAAGTGACAGGTGAAATTAAAAGTCTGAATGTTGAATACTCGTGGATGTCAAAAGAAGAAAAAGTGATCATCCCTTGGCCTTAGTAAGTTTATAATAATATAAATCATAGTATGGGGTCGTAAACTAAGTCTGTAGTGTTTTTTATGGTAAATTTAATGAAATTTGAAATGTTTGAACCACATTGTTTTGTTACTTATTGCTATCTACCTTTCTAATTTTTGTAATTTTGCCCTCCCAGAACTTGAATTCTTTTGAACAACTCCTTGCTACGCTATCTCTAGTTTTGAAGTGAAATAAAAATTTTCCCTTTAATAGAATTTTGGTGAGCCTGAAATAAGAGAAAATCTAAATGGAGGGGTAGTACAGACGGCCAGCATTATCCTGTGGAAAACAATTCCCTTGTAATTAGCTAATACTAGTCATTGTTTATCAATTGCTGACTCTAATCTCACCAATTATGTGCAGTATACACACTGACTGCTTGTCTGGGAAAAAGAAAGCTTATAATAAGCACACCTTTCTACCAAATGCAAAATATTACGCTTTCTTGAAATGAAATCCAACTTTTGGAGTCGTTAACCGTAGGTCGCTGTATTTTTTCGAGAATTTCTCTCTCTTAACATTGTTGTAAAAGACCTACTTATCTACCCCCAGTTAATAATCTTTTTTTAAATGTGACATTACTTTGCAATTTTGGGTGGGAAGTGTAGTGGAAATCCGGTCCAATAAATTTTTCTCAGTCAACATGTGAAAAAACCAGACGTTGCTCCGTAAAACCATATATTCTCAGATTGCATTGAAATGCTTGTACGAGATAGGTTAAATTGAGTGTTTGGTATTTGTGACAAAAGCATAAATTTGAACTTCATCAATGGTCGTAGGATGACTAGGACACTAGCTAGGGTGGGCGGACCACAGTCTGGGGCTTATATATAATGAAATATTATAGATAAACACCTTTTTCATTTTTGTGCCTATGTTTCAACCATTATTCAGGGGCTGGATGAATTACAAATACGTTGATTGAAAAAAATAATTATACAATACAGATGTAAATAACATAACTTTCGAACCACAACAGCAAGGCCCCAAGATTAGCCAAATAAAGGTCGAAACGGCAAAAAAATGAAAAAGGTATTTACCAAAAATACTTCATTCCTAACCACTCGTCATTACTTCATCAAATTACTGTAAATAATAATAACTAACTCATTAGATTTCATGGTCTGATTGACCAAACAACTTCCTTCAGCTAATTAATATTTATGTAAAGAATGTAAGGTTAGGTTATGTAAGGATGGGAAGTTGGTGTCCGATTGGATCGATGTTCGAAAGATGACCCAAATAAAGGTCGAAACAGCAAAAAAATGAACAAGGAATTTACCAAAAATACTTCATTCCTGACTGCTCCTCATTACTTCATCAAATTACTGTAAATAATAATATTTCGTGGTCCAATCGACCAAACAACTTCCTTCAGCTAATTAATATGTATGTAAATTATGTAAGGTTAGGTTATGTCAGGATGGGAAGTTGGTGTCCGATTGGATCGATGTCTTCCCATCCTTACATAACCTAACTGTACATAAAGATAAAATAATAACTAAATAAACATTGCTTCAAAACATAAGATAAATGAAAATTAAAAAACACTACGAACTTATTTTACAAGCCAATATAATATAATAAATTATAGTACAAAAATATGCTAAATTATAATATATTCATATTGAAATAGCATACCTACTAAGCATGATGTGTCCAAAGATACTGGCCCGACAGACCCTAGTTGTTGTGTTTGCATGACCGGAGCAAATTTCAATAACATGAAGGTATGTCTGTGTTCTTGGGCAGTTTGGAAACATGCATAATGGCTGTTTAAATCAGGTTCCTTACGATCCAAAAGACATCGCTGAGGAGAATACACTTAAATACGTTGACTCCACGACATCCAGTGTTCCTTATCTGAATTGGCCACTAATTGGTGGAAGATATTATTACGATAGCTTCAAAAAGATGGAGCTATTAGTGTAAGTAAAAATTAATAGAAGCATTTAACGTATTAATTTCTAATAATATGTTATTAGAGATTTTAAATTTCCTTGGACTTTTGAAGATTTTCTGGCAAGAATTACTGATTTTCCTACAACCGATGAGAAGCAATTAATTCTGAATACCTTCTCTTCCAAAGCGATAGTCATCCATTTAAAAACCTTTGAGGGTAACAAAATGTTTAATTTATTATTCATATTTTTCAACAGTTCTTTAAAATTTTGTTTAATGTGGAAATTACAGTAAAGACAGCGGTCATTTCAATATCAAATTTAACCCCTATCAAAGCTGAGTACTATTCTGAAGTGAAGGAGTTTTATGAGAGACAGCCTTTAAAACATGAATACACGATTATTGAAGGCGTAAAGCACATTTCTAAAGACTCAATTGAAAAAGTATTGAAAAACAGTCACATATTGAAAAAAAATCCAGTAAAAGGTGATACTTATGCATATTTTTTATGCCGAAGTGGACATTTTTTATTTTATTTTTAAGAAATGCTGTTGGATAAGATTCAAAACAAAGCAGGCTTAGTATTGGGTTTATCAAATTCTAAAGGCAGATTGGGCGGATACAGTCAGGTTGACGTTGAACTGACTGCATTCAGCAATTGTTGGGGGATTTATTTGGACCATATAAAAGTAGATATAACAGACCTGGATCCAATTCATATTCCAGTGCTAATCAATTCCTCAGGAAAACCAGCTTGGTTTATGTTCGCCCCTTATTGCGATGAACCATTGCTAAGGTACATTGATTTATTAAATCGTTTGGCAGTTTGAAAAAGTGAAATTTCAACAGGTTCGGTGCCTTGTCACCATTTGAGAAAAAAGAATTGACAGTTATGGTTTATAACAATTCTTTTCTCCATTTAAAAATCGCTTGGTCAGCATATACTGAAATTCCGTTGAGCGAATTCGAGTCCAACTTCTGCTTGCCAGATGAACCAGGCCCTTTCAGTCTCAACATTGAATTTCATCCATCAAAGGAAGAATCATTTTGCAGAGTTAATCTCATCGATTATCTCGGTGAAATTGATAAGACCTATTATAAAGTAAGCCTTAAATGTAAAATTCCTAAAAATAATAATAATAAATTTTGTTTCATTTTTAGTGTTCCCCTTATGTAACATACCTGAAGCCGAAGAGCAAAGCGCCTTTGAAAATAACAGTCAATACAACAAGTTGCTGGTTTGACATAAACAATTTAGAAAAAGTATTGCGAGGAGGGATTTGTGGCGTGATTTATATTGATTGCGAAAAAGAGTAATAATTTTGAAAGTCAAATTTTTACTAACTGAATTTTAACAAAAGAAAATGTTTTATAGGACAGATGATTTGGGATTCAGCTGTTACAGACCTGATGGTTTTGAAATAGACACTTTGTTATTGAGGCTAGAGGCCAAAGTCACAATGCCTCTCCTGCAATTTGTTAATCCGGATAAGGATAGTTTTATGTTTTTTGTACGGATGTTTTAACGCTTTTATTATTTTTAAAGCAAAAATAGTTGCTGAGAATAAACAGCAAATTACCAAAATAATAATTTGATCTTCGAAAAATGATCAAATTCTTTAAACTGTAATTTAAAGAATACAAGTTTTTTGAACTTTTCTTTTCCAGTAGTTCACTTTTTATATTTCTTAGGTTTCTTTTCGGGAACTAGACAACCATCAATAAAAAGAAAATAATCCTGAAAAGAAACCCGAGAAATATAACAAGTTTCTTCTTATACTCAACAAAATTTTCATTACATTTAGGACTACTGATTTATATAAGTCAATTCTACATATGAAGATAATAATATATTTTTTTAAAGTATTATAATTCTTATAAGCATAAACATGTTCAATTTTGTTTTCATTTTATTTATTATTATTATTATTATTTTATGGAATAGATGATAGAAAGCCTTTTCAAAACATCTTACACATTTTTGAATTAGAAAAATTTGCATGAATCCATTTTTAATTGCAGATACCATCCTACAAGATTGCCCGCGAGCAGAAAAGCTACACTCGGATCAAAAAATACCTTCTTCAGAACACTGGTAGCAACACATGTTTGTGCAATTTCTCTATTACTGGTTTGATGACAATGAAACAGCTTAGGCTGTACAGTGAAAAAGATGGCTTTGAAGAAATTTACACAGATCTGAGTCCAACAATTTTTATAAGGTCCGGTTACTTCGTCGAGGTAAACCTGGACCAACCGTTTAATGTTTGAATAGAATTATCATTTTTGTACTATTTTATATTTCAGTTATCCCTCCTGTTAGAAATAACAAAAAGACAAATGTACACGTACATGGATAGAGGAAAATTAGACAGTAACGTTGCCATAAGTAAATCTAGCAGAAAAAATAAATCAGTGCAAGACAATTTGGTTGATACATGCATTGTGATAAAACAAGGAAACAACATAGAACAGGCGAGTTGCTTTCCCCTGTACTATAAATGAACTGAGAAGTTTGAATTGATACATATATTTTTTTAATTTTATTTTAGTGCATACCAATGACAATAGAAGTTGGAGTTCCAGAGATAACCGTATCCACTAAAGCCATGTATTTTGGAAGAACATATCTCAATCAAACAAAAACAGATTCATTCCGAATAAAAAGTAGCTTAGGTAAATGTCTGGTTAGGTAAAACAGCGAATAAAAATTAATTTGGACCCGTGAATATTACAGGAGATGAAGCTTTCATTATAAAAATTGTGACGGAATATGCAGGTATTTTTGCAGTGACTCCATTTTCTGGCACTGTCAAACAAGGCCGTTTTGTACACATAGATGTTCAATTCACTCCAAAGTGATTAAAACAGTATTTTATCATTTTTACGATCAGATCTAATTAAAAATAATTTTTTACAGAGAATGTTTGAAATATAAAGCAAAGGCTGTTGTCTTAACTAATTATCAGATGTTCGTTTTTGAAGTACAATTGGAAGGCACAGGAACATGGGATTACCACTACGGCATGCTGGCCAAATGTTAAAAACATAAAATATTTATATAAAATAAATCTCAAATTTTGTGAGCAATATATGTGTATATATTTGTAGTTAATGGAAGGTATTAATATATGTGTACTTAGTAGAAACATTTTTTATTTAAAAACCCACTAGCTCCAAGATATGAAAATTCTCACTTACTCTGACAATAGTGAAGTTACCCCCATTAATACTTTTATGTATGTATATATNTATATATATTAATTCACATTTATCATTTTCAAGGACAAAGTTTATGTTTTTGCAGATAATATATATACATATGGATGTGTCATTCTTGTGTGTCGTGTTGAGAGTGCCAGTGAAATATTAATGTTTTTAAATTCACTAATTTCGTGGTCCGCTTGACCAATTAATATATTACAATTAATTAAGGTTTTTAGTTGAGATAAAGTCAATGGCACGAGCCGGATTTAAATTCAAAAGGAGGGAAAACTCAAAAGGTGGGGTTGAGATAGGAAGTTGATGTCCGAGTGGATCGAGGTCACGATAGCTCAAGTGGTAGAGCAGCGGCGTATCTTGCTGAAGATCGTGGGTTCGAATCCCGCTCGTGCCATTGACTTTTTTATCCTAATAAAAACCTTAATTAATTGTAATTAATGTTTTTGTTTATATTCCTTGAATTTTGGAGGAGTGAGGAAGGAAGTTGGGATAGAAATCCATTTTTCCAAGAGGAGTCGGCTTCTTTGAGGTGAAAGGAGCCGACAATGGGAAAAAAATGGGATGGTCTATCGTTCGGCCTGGCTAGCCTTTCAGAATTGCAGCAAATTATTAAAGAATTAGACTATGTAGACATGTTTGATGTGTGGAATGTAATGATAGTTTTATATGTTGTATTATATGTTTTTTTATTACAATTTTTTTATTGTTTTGTGGGATGAGATGATGATATATGTATGTTTTCGATATTGAATTTGATTAATGATATTGGCGTATCTGCGACTGAGTTTACTCGTGTCTGTTCTGTGTGTAATATTTTTGGATTGTTGGAATCAAAGTTGTGTTGGTGCTCAAAATGATAGGTAGCCAGTGCTGTAATATTTTGTTTGGGTTTTTTGCAATTTTAGAAATGTTGTTTTATACTCTTAAAAATTTTTTCGGTTTTTTTTTTTCGTTTTTCTCGAAAAAAACGTGTTTATTTATTTTATTTTTATAAATTATAAAAGGCAGTCAACCGCTTTGGGTCATTTTCCGCCTTAAACACTTTCATGCTGGGTGTAATAACTGAAGTGGGCCACAGTTCAGGAACCCCCCCGATAGCGGAAACCAGGGCCCCGGCAGGATCACACGCCCCGGACACCCTTTCACAACCACCACCAGATGGGTACCCAAACCGCACCCCAAGACACCTCCCAACATTGAGTGGATCATTGCATAAAATGAATGCTCTTTTGTATTAAATTATTATATCATTTTATCTTCATATTTCCGAAATTAGTTTAGTTTTTTTAAGGAAAGTTACTGGTTTGTCTATTTGGTCGGAGTCATCCCCAAGCGAGTCTCTGATGTGGGTTGGAATTTCCAATGTCTTTCTCCTACATATTTTGTGCAATTTGTCAAATGTGTTTAACTATTATTCTTTCTGTGTAAACATCACAAAGCGGAGTCTCTTTTTTTGCCATGGGATAAGAGTAAGCCTATAATGACCAATTCTGAGCCACGCAAGGACAACTTCGTGCCTGGAACCTCTATGAGATGAGGCCCAAGGTTTTACACTGTTTTTTTTCCCCTAAGTTTGACATTAGAAGTCGTTTCCCATTCTGTTTGCCGTAACTGCCAAGACTTTCTTTTATGCCAAGCTGTCACATCGGATTTTGGTGTTTTTGTAATTTTGACTTCATTAAGGACGGCCTGCTTTGCCAAATGGTTCATCTTCTCATTTCCAAATATTCCGCAGTGTCCTGGAACTTCCCTGATTTTGCAGAGATTTTAATAATAATCTTAAAGTAGATATATAACCATCCCCAAAACTACGTGTTTAACGAGCTTAATTCCTTTTTCAATCGACTCAGCAGGTAGATTTACATCGAAGAAGACAGTAATTTTTTTTTCGATTTTTTTGCGTTTTTCTCGAAAACTACGTATTTGACTAGCCTAATTCTTTTTCCAATCGACTCAGCAGGTCGATTTACATAAAAAAGACATTAAAAAACTTTCCATTTTTTGGGGTTTTTCTCGAAAACTACGTGTTTTACGAGCCTAATTCCTTTTCCAATCGACCCAGCAGGTCGATTTACATCGAAAAAGACAGTAAATTTTTTTTGCGTTTTTCTCGAAAACTACGTATTTGACTAGCCTAAAGGCAGGATCACACTTACCCGATGCTATCCGACGCAAATCCAAACTCCGATTTTCCATAAGGTTGCATTATCCCCGTGCACATCTACTCGATGCTATGCCACGCTAACCTACCCGACGCTCTGCGATCCCCACTGTCCAGATTTTCGTCGGGTCGCATCGAGTACAGTCGAAGACAAAAGAACCGGACACCATATTTTTATTCAAACTATTATATTCTATTATTGTCGTTATATTAATTACAACATACTTATTTTAATATAAACCAAATTAACTGTGATTAAAAATTAATTAGTTTTTATTTAAAAAATTAATTTTAATGGTTTGGTAGAAAATTAATCAAAACATCGGAATACGATTTTTTGATATAATGAATTTAACTGACAATTTATTGTACTCGCTTCGGCGGTACATATACTAAAATTCGAACAATTTATTACACGGTTTTGCTCATAAAATTTAATTAACTATTTATTTCATAGTTTTGCTCGTAAAATTACAACATTTTGTAATGTCGGGTAGCATCAGAACAGGACACTCATATTTTTTGTAGTTTATTTCGAACTATGTATATGTAATTTTGTCGTTATATTAATGACAACATTCTTATTTTAATATAAACCAAATTAAACGAGATCAAAAGTTCATAAGTTTTCATAAAAATTATTTAATTATGATGGTTAGGAAGAAAATTTATCAAAACACCGGAATAACTTTATGTCAAACAATTAACTTTAACAAACAATTCATTACATGGTTGTGCTCATAAAATTTAACAAACAATTTATTATAAGGTTTTGCTCAAAATAATGCATTAAGAACAAAAGAGGTGTTACGATTGTCATACTGATTTGTGATACAAGCTGTGTGACTGTACGTGATGTGCGCTTGACGTTGCATAAATGTGCACTCCCTACCAAAACGTGGCAAAGCGTCGGGTAGCATCGGGTAGCATCGGGTAGCGTCGCATAGCGTTGCATTGGGTAAGTATGTTCCCCGCTTTATTATACTTTCCTTCTTCCTAGTTCAGTGCAATTGACCTGATCCTTCTCCTAAGAAGAACTAGGTTATTGACCGTCGTTTCTGTAATTCCATTCCCTGGATTTTCTTTATATCCTTGATTATGTCTCTATCGAGCCGTTTCTTTTTCCTTGGAAGGTGATGTGGGTGGCGAAAAATTCATTAGTTTTCATTTTAAAAAAAAGTAATTGTAATGGTTAGGAAGAAAATTGATCATACACCGGAATACAATTTTTTTTATATAGTGAATTTAACTAACAATTTATTTCACGCTTTTGCTCATAAATTACACCATTTTCGTCGAGTAGCGTCAAAATAGGGCACTCATATTTTTTGTAGTTTATTTCAAACTAAGTACATGTAATTTTGTCGTTATATTAATTACAACATGTTATTTTAATGTAAACCAAATTAAACGAGATCAAAAATGCACAAGTTTTTATAAACATTGTTTATTTATGATGGTTAGGAGTAACTTTATTTAAAACAATTAAGTTTAACAAACAATGTATTAGATGATTGTGCTCATAAAATTTAACTAACAATTTATTACAAGGTTTTACTCAAAATAGTGCATTAAGAACAAAAGATGCGTTGCGATTGTAATAGTGATTATTGTGATAAACGCTGTGGACTGTACGCGACGTGCTTTCGTCGGATAGATGTGCACACCCCACCAAAACGTGGGCAAAGGCGTCGGGTAGCATCGGGTAGCGTCGCATGGCGTAGCATCGGGTGTATTCCTGGCTTAATTATTTTTCCAATCGACTCAGCAGGTCGATTTACATAAAAAAGACATTAAAAACTTTCCATTTTTTGGGTTTTTTTTCGAAAACTACGTGTTTTACGAGTCTAATCCTTTTCCAATCGACTCAGCAGGTCGATAAATAAAGACAATAAATTTTTTTTTCGAATCTTTTGGTTTTTTAATTTTTTCACGCAATTGTTCACTTCTTTATTTGTTCTTTGCATTTAAAGTAATTTAGGGATGGTTAGGGAAGTAATTTCTACTTTGTTTCTTTTTTCTCGTTTACACTATATTTATTAATTTATTTCTCTTCCCTTTTTTTTTTGTTATGTGCAAACAAGTACCTTAGAATAATGTTGTGGTTTTAAAGAATTTGCTGTCCAAAATGCAATACATTATTTGTTGCAAATATTCGGCGTTCTTACCTTCGAAAATCTTTAATATTGGATTTTTGGGATGACCACAGAAAAAAGTTAGTTGTGCGATAAAATGTTTATTTTGTTTATTTAACATTTTAATAATTTAAACCTCTTAAGAATAATAACCTCAATACCCTCGTAGCTTTTGGCTTTTACTCGTTAATTCAGGATTATACCACCAGAACTCTATGCTCCTTTAAATTATTGAACAGCTTTATAAAATTCACTTAATAAATATATAAGGTAATTAGTATTTTTTTAATTGTTACAAATTCTAATTAACAATTGAACGCTTAGTTGAAAAGAAACATCGACTAAAGTTTTTATAAGAAATGTAGGTTCCCAATAAGTTCTCATTAAAACGCATCTAAAATCTGTTCTACCACTATTCAACCCATTCTAAAGGCCCTCGGCTACAAAATTGCAAATTAAAGATATAAATACATTCTAAGTTAAAGCTGTAATAACTAAACGCAATACACTGTATATAAGTTGGTTGTCGAAATAGGTCGACGGAAAACAACTGTGGTTCTAATGTTTCTCTTGGAACCTATATTTCTTACTAGTGACAACATTTATTATAAATTGACTAGTTAATAATAAAACGTCTCTCCCTCGTCTATGCGGAACAATTGGGTCTCCTAGCCGATTATGTTATTTATGGACAGGAACATAATCACTGTCTCGCGTACTTCATCGTTATCCAAAAATGTGCAAATAGCAATTTGTATTGTATCTCTGTACAAAATCCCCGAGGAGGGAACATACCACCCGATTGTCTAGTATTTGGGCCAAGCGAAATACGAATTGACGATACATTTTTTTAATGTTGAATTTAAGAAATAAAAGATACGAACATTTTAAATGATTATTAAAAAGGATCTGCAAATATTTTGAATATTAGATTTCTATCTAAACAATGCACACTATCTCAGCCTATTTTTTGTTATTTTAATTGTTATTGTTTCGTTTTTTTTTTCAAATTTCATAAATTGACTGCGTACTGCTACAAAGCAGTAAGAGGCAAAACCTGAAGGATTGTTTAACAACGAAAGCTTTCAAAACCTAATTTTAAGTGTCATAAATAATAAATGATCTATTACACAATAATAGCTTGTCTCTGTAAATATACCTTAGTATAACCCTTAATTAGATAAACGAAATATCAACATTGTTGTTTTCATGGTAAATTTAACAATTTTTAATTTTCTACAAAGTCAACTCAAAATACAAGCTAAAAACTTGAGTGTATATAACAACTCACATTTTCCTTTGGTTTAATAAACGTCAAATTTAATTTTCCTGTTAATACAAATTGAAAAAAAGTATTTCTAATAGAATCGAATCAAATTTCAACACCGTCGTTTGGATAACTTGAAAAATATCTTGGGCCATTGTACAACTAGCAAAACTGAATTAAGTCAAAAGCATGTGCTCAGGCTTATTATAGTTTTATTTTCTTTTGAAATTTCATAAATTGACTATTTGCGTACTACTATGAAGCAGTAAGACGCAAAACCTGAAGGATTGTTTAACAACGAAAGCTTTTAAAACCTAATTTTAAGTGTCATACATAAATAATGATTTATTAAACAATAATAGCCTGTCTCTGTAAATATACTTTAATTATAACACTTAATAAGATAAACGAAATATCAACATTGTTGTTTTCATGGTAAATTTAACAATTTTTAATTTTCTACAAAGTCAACTCAAAATACAAGCTAAAAATTTGAGTGTATAGAACAACTCACATTTTGCATTGGTTTAATAAACGTCAAATTTAATTTTCCTTAACACAGATTAAAAAAAAGTATTTCTAATAGTAATCGAATCAAATTTTAACACAGTCGTTTGGATAACTTGAAAAATAGCTTTGGGCCACTGTACAACTAGTGAAATTGAGTTAAGTAAAAAGCAAGTGCTCAGGCTGCATAAACCTTTCTTTTTATAATATATAAAGTATTTTATTTATTTTAATTTATTTTGGCGTAATTTAATGGAGAAAAGAGATTGGGCTGTACGTGTGAATACAAGAATAAAAAAAATCAACAAATAATGATTGGAAAATAAATTCCAGATATGGAAATTTGTTTCCAACTCTTTAACAATAATGGCATCGGGAATACATGATTTTCAATTGTATTTGTACTATATTGAGCATATGCTGTGCACAAAAACTAATCGCCTGTTAATTTTTTTTTCAAACACTGCGAGTTATCTATAGGGTGAAATGTGATACAAAACCATTCTAGAATATGCAATAAACCCAAGTTTAATCGTAATGGAAGACTACTTAATTTTTAAACGCTGAGAAATTTATTCAGAGAGTTGCTGTGATTTTTTATAACGTTATAACTGTGCGCCCCTGGTCCCGCATCTAATCCCTTCTGTTCTAAAGCTCTGAGAAAAAATGACACTACGAATAAAAATATACATTGTATTTATTGTTAAAATTGAATATTAATTAAGTCCAAAACTAAACTAATCGCTTTTATGCTTGAAATAAGCGATTTTTAATTATTCTGTTTTTCAAGTTTTGTAGAATTTTTTTTAGATTAAACAAGCGTCTTGTTATTAGTTTATTAGTTAGTATAATACAATTTTTTACTTCACCAAATTAAACTGTGCATCGTTTCTTATCGGCAGTAAAGATCACCAATGAAAAACCATTTCATAGCTCACATCACTTCAAAGATTTTTTTGTTTGTTTTAAGGCACAGAACAAACTATACCGACTAACAAATTTTCATAATCACCGTGTTTATGTGATGGAAGCAATTAAACAGTGTGCTATTTACAAATTAATTCCATTTTGGTATACTTGAGTTTCTAAAATAGTTACTTTTTTCTTCTATAGGCTGTTTTTGTAATGTTTAAATACAAATATGGCATTTCAATTTCAATAAAAATGTGATAATAAATATTCATGCTTACAATCATTTTGATTACAATTATATTATTGTTAAATATATTAAATGTTATATTATATTTTTTTACAATTTTATACTAACAATAATCCTTTTCGAACTCTCTCTCTCTCTCGCTCTCTCTCATTCTCTCTCTCTCTCGCTCTCTATAGCTCTCTAGCTCTCTTAATTCATAGTGTCCTATAGAATTTATGTTGCAAGTGGTACGAGAGTTGGTTTTAGAAATTTGGCGTCAAAAGCTGATCGTCACGATTCTAGGCCGTTTTTTCTAATACAACAATTTGGCGTCTCGAAGAACCGAGATTGAACAGATCAGATCTGTTGATCAGCCTCCTGTAAAATTCTCTACGAAGCCTTATCCGGATCAGAACATCGTGTCGTTGTCTGCGGCAAGGAGCGGACTGCTTTCTCCTGTCGGAAACGAGGGTGTCAGCCTGGAGGAAGGCGTCGTCGGCGCCGATCTGCTGAGCCAACCTCGCCCTCTGTACTTGTTCCTGGAACTGCTGCTCCCCTGGAATAAAAACCGAACTTCAGTTCTGAAATTGTGTTAGTCCAGTTGAAATATTCAAATAAATAGCAGAAGTATTGTATAAAAGGTTCTACAAGGACGACTTCTAGTTTGCTTTACTCAGTGGCAAGATTAAAGGGTAGGCACAGATTGTTGATTTTCGTGTACACCCATTGGATTTGACTTTGAAAATTTGAATTAAGCTCAAACATGTTGGATATTCATAAAATTCCCAGGTTCCTACTTCTTAAGCGAATTTGGGCCTTGTGATTCTTTACAGTGTGACGATCGCTTACCCGATCGACCGACCTTTTCGGGGCGTTCTTGAAATGTAGCCGTCAAGACTACGTCACCGCTGAACAATAAAATAAAATGAGTTTTTAATTATGAATTAAGTGAGATTAACGTAAAATAATTTCAACAGAAAACAAAGGTTTATTCAAACCCAACCAAACAGGATCAAAATATGTCCTCTCAAGAAAATAAACTATGTTAATAAAAATTAAATGTGTGGTGTTTAGTGACCATTAGCCAATGATTTTATTTGGAGATCGTGAGATGAGGTCTTGTGTGACGTAGGCTTTAGAAAAATATTTCCTTTATCTTGCCAATGTTTCGATCTTTATTGAGTTCATCTTCAAGGGCTCAAAGTGTTTGTTTTCCGTGTAGATGTGTCATTCTCGTCTGTCGTGTTGAGAGGGCGACAGATGATCGTTGGTACGATAAAGAAAATGTTTTTCTAAAACCTACGTCACAATAATTAATTAAGGTTTTTAGTTGAGACAAAAAGTGAATGGCACGAGCGGGATTCGAACCCACGATCTTCGGCTAGATCGCCGCTGCTCTACCACTTGAGCTATCGTGGCCTCGATCACTCGGACACTAACTTCCCATCTCAACCCCTCCTTTTGAATTTTCCCTCCTTTTTGCCATTTTTCAAATGTTGCGAAATCGGATTGGATTCTTTTGAATTTTCCCTACTTTTTGCCATTTTTCAAATGTCGCGTAATCGGATTGGATTCTAAAGGTGGGGTTGAGATGGGAAGTTAGTGTCCCAGCGGATTGAGCTCACGTTAACTCAAGTGGTAGAGCAGCGGCGTATCTAGCCGAAGATCGTGAGTTCGAATACCGCTCGTGCCATTGACTTTTTTTATCTCGACTAAAAACCTCATTAATAATAATTATTCTGTTGATTGTGTATTTAGGGTATGATTTTTATGCAGGATCTATTTGTATATCTTTATGTTCTTGTGGTGAAATGATTCATGGCTTAGGGTAATAATTCTGTGAATAAACCCCCTGGCCGTGAAGATTTGTGTTTGTAAAGTTGAGGTAGCGATCTGTGCTTCTTGGTTTTCGATACCAATCTGTGATTAATGTGACATCTGGTTGTTTTGTTACGAGTGTATCTAAAAATGGAATTGTTTTGTAGTTTTCTATTTCATGTGTAAATTGTCCAAAATTTTCTAGCAGTGTATAAATTCATTTTTTGTTTTTAATCTAAAATTTTCCATCATTGTATAAATTCATTTTTTTTCACATCCTACATGTATTTGTAAAATTTAAACAATGTTTATAAATCCCAGGCCCTGAAGATGATCTCAATAAAGATCGAAACGTTGGCATGATAAAGAAAATGTTTTTCTAAAACCTACGTCACACCAGACCGCACCTCACGATCTCCAAATAATCATTGGCGGTCACTAAACACCACGTATTTGATAAGAGTTTCGTTTTTGCTCACTCGGTGTTCAATTTGTCCAATGGCCAGAACGGATTTTTTTGTATAAATTTTACCTTCGGTGCCTTAGTGACAATTAAAATGATGGTGTACCTGTTGAGAGGGGTTTTTGCTTAATGTAGGTGTTGTTGCTTGTGGAGGGGAGTCTAGCGGGGCAATTGATAGAGAACTAACGTTTGAAAGGCCACAGAGAGATGGGCGCGCCTGCCTCCGCTCGCTCTCCGTGCTCACTATGCATGGCGTCGTCTCCTGAAAAAAAGAAAAGCATATCTTCATTATCCAGGATGGAAAGAGATTTAATATTATCAGGCTGAGCAAGCTGTAAATTGAACTGGCGTGGACGTGTTTTGACAAGACATGCGGACGTGAGCGAAACTCTGCAGCGAGAAACCGGCTGGTCAAATCCAGGACAGGATGCTTCGGTGTTTTGAGTAGCAGTTCAGTTCGAATTCCTAGGGGATTTGTGCGAGATACTCTCGTAAGTCTGACAGTTGCGGAAGTAGATTTAAGAAAGACGCGCCTCGGATAATAATCAGCTAAAAGTATTTTTTCTCGTACAACGTACATCTCCATTTTTTGAATTGAGAGACGTTATGGTTTGACTTTAGTATGATAACAGCCTACCTCGTTGGTCGGAGAAGACTGCTCGTTGATCTGCTCCATGCTTCCAGGGGCACTTGAATATGGCGGAGGAATTAAGCTGTTCGCCTAGAACAATACCAGGACGAAAAAGTCGCAATTTTTTCATACAATTTTAATGATAAAATATTTCAAAATTATAATGTTTTATCTAGTTTTAAATTGGACAAAATTAAACAGTACACTAAAATTTTTATGTTAATTGTAATTTTTAATCCTCTTAATTATTTAAGCCGGCGAATTTTTGGGTTTAGTGAGTTTGGATGGTGTTCTAATTGGTCTTTAAGTTTTCAAACTTGCCAGCTGGGAAACAATTTTTCATATATATTTATTTCACCCTTTTCTCTTTCACCCCACTTAAATCCCAGGATTTACTGCCCTTCCCGGACCCGGTCTTCATAAAGTTTACTATCCTCTTAAATCTGGCCGTAAACGTGTTTCTGAACATTCAATCAGTACACTCGAAAGAGGTGCTGTGCAAATGCAAAACGGGGATGCGTATTACGTGGCGGGAGTGAAAACGGCTTAAGGGAGGGGGGGAGAATAAGCTAAGCTTAAATTCTAATACTTATCGAGAGTCTCACCTCGTTTGTGGCGCTACAAAATAAGCTTGAGCTCAGTGAATCTGCAGTGCTTGTGGCGGATAGAGTACCTTGAACAGTTACAATTCGTGTTAGATCATTAGATAAAATATATATATATATACAGGGTGAATTGCTACTCGTGCTACAAACTTCTCCAGTAGATTCTTCACCCTAAAATGAACAAAAAAGTTCATATTGTCCATGGTCCGATTCTCAACCATTTCAGAGTAATTTCGCTTTTTATCGATTTTGAAAGATATCACGTCCTGGCGTCGGAAAATCGTGATATCTTTTAATCTAAACATTTCTCTTAAAATCTATAAGCACCGTTGAAATCCCCGTTAATTTTTAGAGAGAATCAAAATCATAATTCCATTGAAATTTTTTAATTTAATTTAATGCCCATTTAGTATGTAATGCTTAAGAAGTTTACAAACAGCTAGAAGGTCAAGGAAGAAAGACCCAAACGTTTTGCCACCTTCATCTTCTTATTGAAAAATTAACGGGGATTTCAACGGTGCTTATAGATTTTAAGAGAAATGTTTAGATTAAAAGATATCACGATTTTCCGACGCCAGGACGTGATATCTTTCAAAATCGATAAAAAGCGAAATTACTCTGAAATGGTTGAGAATCGGACCATGGTCAATATGAACTTTTTTGTTCATTTTAGGGTCAAGAATCTACTGGTGAAGTTTGTAGCACGAGTAGCAAGTCACTCTCAAACATTAGCAATCCTTGAACCACCATTTTTTCTCTTTTTGTCATCAACATCTTGGTCTCACAACCACTAAATAAGAAAATGACGAGTGCGTTGGAAGCGTTATTAAATCAGGTAGTTTTCCTCAAATTTGCTGCCTTCTGAGACTAAAATTAGAAACTCTGGATTACTTTATACACTTTCCGATTTACACAATTTTCCACTCTTTTTGTAGTTCTGGCTGAAATAAAACACAAAAAATTAGCCCAAACATTTTGCCACCGTCATCTTCTTATTGAAAAATTAACGGGAATTTCAACGGTGCTATTAGATTTTCAGAGAAATGTTTAGATTAAAAGATATCACGATTTTCCGACGCCAGGACGTGATATCTTTCAAAATCGATAAAAAGCGAAATTACTCTGAAATGGTTGAGAATCGGACCATGGACAATATGAACTTTTTTGTTCATTTTAGGGTGAAGAATCTACTGGAGAAGTTTGTAGCACGAGTAGCAATTCACCCTGTATATATATATATATAAGAATTCACGTAAAAATAGCTATCGACACAAAAATAATTACGAAATTTTACATTATATACAATAAACATACCTTAGACAATGCTATTATTATATTATAAATCTGGGAATCTATATATAAATAAGACTTATTCCGATTTAACGGGTCTAAATATGATTACCTAATTATTTTATTTTAGCTGCTTTAAAAATTATTACGAATGTATTAGGTTTCGTGGTCCTACTGAAAAGTAAATACTTTTCAATTAATTAATCTTTTGGTTGAGATAAAAAAGTCAGTGTCACGAGCTGGATTCGAACCCAAGACCTTCGGCTAAATAAGCCGCTACTCTACCACTTGACCTATCGTGAACTCGATCCACACGGACTCCAACTCTCCATCCCAACTCATCCTTTCGAATTTTCCCTCTTTTTTGCCATTTTTCAAATGTCGTGTAATCTATTTGATTCTCGGCGATAAATGAAATGGCCACGGAGAGCTTAAGTGAAGATATATTTCATTAACTTATTAAATTCCACAGATTGAGTCACTCTGACTTTTTTATCTCTACCAAATCCTTACATAAAAATTAATTAATTGAAAGATATAATTTGGTCAATCGGGCCACGAAATCTAGTGAACCTATTGTTATATTATAAATATTATATATATCTTATTATAAGAAATAAGACTTGTTCTGATTTAAAGGTTCAAAATAAAATAATTACCTAATTGTTTTATTTTAGCAGCTTTAAAGATTATTACGCATATATGCAACCCAGATTAACCAAATATTTATCTCATCGATACTGGAGAAGGTTTCTAACGTAACCTGAAGATGGCATAACCTATAAAAATGTCCCTTTGCTTTCGTGGATCGCCAAGTTTCACTGTTACTTTTTGTTGTAAACCATATCTTCTGGGTCATCTCAGGTCATAAGTTTTGAAGAAAACACGATTGAGTTTTACTACCATAGTACGAGCTTGTTGAAATGACCGAGACTTGATGAATCCAGCGATAATAAACGTACCCAATAAAATGATGCTGATTAGTTCAAAGTGTTCATTCACTCGAAGATTAACATGCAAACCATGAAAGAAAACATTAGTTAGGGAATTGCGTTATGGCTCTCGAATGCTTGGTAAATCCCACGATGGTTGTGGCGTTACCATTGTCGAAGCATGGATTGATAGATAATTTATAAACAACGAGTTTATTCTACGTTTTACATTGTCAGGTCGTGGGTTCGAATCCCGCTCGCGACACTGGCTCTTTTATCTCAACCAATACCTTACATAAAGATTAATTAATGAAAGAAGTTATTTGGTCAATCGGACCAAAAATCTAATGGATTGAGTAAGTAAAATGTAATACATATTCCCGAAAGCTCTCTGAGGCCATTTCATATGCCGCCGTGAATCGAATAGATTACACGACATTTGAAAAATGGCCAAAAAGAGTGAAAAATATGAAAGGTGGGGTTGAGATGGGAGGTTGGTGTCCGAGTGGATCGAGGTCACGATAGCTCAAGTGGTAGAGCAGCGGCGTATTTAGCCGAAGGTCGTGGGTTCGAATCCCGCTCGTGACAATGTCAACCAGTACCTTACATAAAGGTTAATCAATTGAGAGAAGTTATTTGGTCAGTCGGACCACGAAATACTTTTACGTTGTTTTAAAATTAACAAAACATGCTTACCGACAGGTCGCATGATGTAATTCCTAAAATATTGGACCATGAGGTAACTGCTACCTGTCTTCCCGTTTTCCGTGTAGCTTATCACAAGAGGGTACAGGTCGGGTTTCGATGTCACCTGGAAAAAAAATTTAAAGAAAATCAAAATTATTTGTTTCATAAGGCAAAAGCGTTACCTCGGCGTAAGGTGGGGGCTGGTGGAATGAAGAGCACCTGCTGTAGTTAGGAGGATAGAAGCAAGATTCAGGGGTCGGTGGTTCTGAGGGCTCCCTCTGAGGACGTGCCTTCTTTTTCCAGAGGCCACAGCCACATCCGCACACCACCGCCAACGCGACGACGCACCTACAAACAATCAAAATACTAAATTTCAAAAACACACCAACAAAAATATGAATCCAATCGTGTCAGTAAAGTGTACCAATATTAAATTCAATTAGGAGTAAATTATGTTTTAACGATTTTCGGTTCTGAAAGCAACATGTATGCAATTAGTAATAATTAAAATTAAGTTTTAAGTTAAAATGATATTTAGCTGATCCCTTCCTTAAATGTAGCTGTGATAACAAACATTACACACTGATATTGAAATATAACAAACATACACGTAAATCAATTAATTAAGGTTTTTAGTTGAGATAAAAAAGTCAATGGCACGAGCGGGATTCGAACCCACGATGTTCGGCTTGATACGCAGCTGCTCTACCACTTGAGCTATCGTGACCTCGATCCACTCGGACACCAACTTCCCATCTTAACCACTCCTTTTGAATTTTCCCTCCTTTTTGCCATTTTTCAAATGTTCTGTAATCGGGTTGGATTCTCGACGACAAATGAATGATTGAAGAGATGTAATAACAAAAATGAAGTATACTTCACTAAAGCTCTCCGTGGCTATTTCATTTGTCGCCGAGAATCAAATAGATTACACGACATTTGAAAAATGGCAAAAAGTGGGAAAATTCAAAAGGTGGGGTTGAGATAGGAAGTTGGTGTCCGAGTGGATCGAGGTCACGATAGCTCAAGTGGTAGAGCAGTGTACCTTGCCGGCGTATCTTGCCGAAGATCGTTGGTTCGAATCCCGTTCGTGCCATCGACTTTTTTATCTCAACTAAAAACCTTAATTAATTGTAGTACATTAATTGGTCAATCGGACCACGAAATTAGTGAATTTAATGAATACACGTAAATGTTTAGATTTCAAGATGTCCTTACAAAATCCAATACCTAGGAAAGTTGTCCCAGTTCCTTTTTGTCCATTAAACCAAACTAACTAGAATCCTGATTTTCAAGTTAAAATATATAAAGCTATAAGGGCAAATATATTTAATGCATATAAAAGGTAACCTATTTATACAGCTGCAGCCATCCTTTTCCCCAGAACAAAGTGAAAAAGTTTTTTGGGTTTACAACTTTATTCCCTAATGTAATAAAACTTAGTAAATTAAACTTAGAACTAACGTCACTATAAATCTAAACTTAATTCTGAACCGGTTTAAATCATTTATTTTAAAATATACTGCTCAAATGAATAGGGATATTTGTAATTTATTCTTATTCTATTAATTTTAATTAAATCAATCGATATATTTTTGTTAGTTGGATAAAACAAAATAGAAAATACTAATCAAAAACAAACAAATGTTAATAATTATTTTAAAATAAGGATTTTCTTAAGAATAGTTTACATGGAGATTACGTATTTTATAGACAAACATATTTTCTCGTCTTTTCTCCATTTTAATCCAGTCATTCTCTTTAACCATGGAAAGACATCATCTGGAAGGAGAATTTTGCAATATTATTATTGAAATAACTCAATAAAGTTAATTATGTATACAAAACCTTATCTAGCTTTACGTTTTAATTTGAGGAACTTCCGTAAGGGAAGAGTTCGATTTAGCGTAAGAGTTAACTTTAAAATACTGTTAATGAAAAAGCTCATTTTGTTATTTTAAAAGCATAAGTTTCAGCCACTGGAAGGTCCCACGACGCTTCCCAACCTATACGCCCAGGATCTAAAACTATTTCAAATTCTGTAAAAAGAGAATGGGAAAACCGCTGGGCTCGTAGAAATAGAAATAACCCTGCTACACTGTGGCAGGTTAAGAAAGAAGTCGGTCCCTTGTCCACGGAGAACGGTTCGAAAAGGTTTGCCATATACCTAGACTACGCATAGGTCATACAAGAATAACGTATGGGCAACTTCTGGCCGGAAAGCGACCGCGTAGGTGCCCGTTATTCAAGGATAGAATAACGGTCGAGCACCTTTTCAAGCGTAGAAGGCTTGATCTATATAGACAATATTTTGGCATAAATAGGGCACGGCAAAGGGCACAAATCGCTGTTCCGGTACCTCAGGGCTATACGGATTTTTAAATGTATATAGTTTCTTATGTGTTTGATTTTATGTTAATTTATTAGAATGAATGTAATTCATTGCCATGAAAGGAAGGGGTGATTTACCCCACCCGAGGAATATAGAGGACTCTGGGGTGAGTGTGTGACGTCTGGAGAGTAAAAGTAATTTATTAGCGTGAAAGAAAGGGGTTGCTTATATCCCCGCCCCGAGGAATATCGAGTACTCTGGGGGAGTGAATGTGCCCAGACATCTATGTTTGTGGTGATGTATATTTATATGTATTGTACGTTTTGTTCCTATTCTGTATTTGACAACCTGAGGTAACAGTCAGGGTAACAGGTTGCTGACGAGAGTCTAGCATTCTAGGATATCAACGTACTATATATCTGAAATCAGAGAGTCAGTAACCAGATCGAGACGCTCAAATGGCTGTAGTTTAAAACAAAATACGCGCGAAAGAAGAGAAAATGAAGGAAAACACCCATAGGGCAGACGATGACCTCAGCCGTTTGTCGGCCGATAAACTTCCCACGTTATTATTATTATTGCATTTTTATTTTTCTTGTTGGATATTTCTTTGCCTAAACCAAAAAAGGATTTATGACAAATAAATCATAACACAGTTTGTACTAAAATCTTATAGTAATATATTTTTCAAAATTGAACTTTAAAGTACAAGGAGGAATATAAAGCAAGAAGGGCGTATGTATTTCAATTCAGAACCAGTTGTCCTTTAGATTTATTAGGCAAAATAACCAAGGTTGTAAAAGCTTTTCTCGTTACCAGGGCTGGTTTGGGTTGCGCGGCTCATCTGACAAACCCTGCTCTTTTCCAGTGCCCTTTCTCGCGCGTCGACACTCAAAACAAGTCAAGATTTATGACACGAATCTGTACTACGTGAGCCCCTGTTAGTATCGTCGCACCGGCTAATTTTATTTCCTGAAAAGACCGTGGTCATTCTGAATATGCAAATTCCGCCTCTGCTCTATAAGATTTATATTATAATTGCCTAAAAGGACAACTTTATTGTGGCTAATAACATTTCATATATGTATATGAATGTTTGCTTTGTATTTAATATATGCTTTATGTTTGGAGCTGTTTATTTCTGTCACATTTTGTTAATCAGGGATTTACTTTGAACAAGTTCTACCATATCGCACTCAGATTTAGGTACTTTGACTACCACAATTTATTCATTTTACTATTACTATTTATTAAAGTATAAATTTAAAAATAATTTACCTAATCACTAATGGTAGGGCTAAATGCAAATCTCTTCTCATTTCTAGCAATTTTGAGCCTAAACAAATTAGGTTGAAAGATTTTATAGTCTATGACGATAAAATTCGAAAATACCCGCGAACCGGTAGGCGGCGTAACTAAAGAAGGAAGGGAGGAAATGGAAAAAAAGAAGAATCGGAGGAAGCAAAAAAGAAAAGCTTTCAATATTTGCCTTCCCAAAAATGGTTTATTATTATTACATATTTTTTTGCGTTTATGTATAGACTGGTCAGTTTATTTTATTATTTTTATTGTAAAATTAGAATAGACACAATAGAGCTAGCTCGATTTCATTTTAAAAGATGATATTTTTATAAAGTTTTTTCCAATTTGTGTTATTGGCAAGGATTTAATTTAATTTTTTTATTTTTAACGAATTGTTAGTTTTTTTCAAAGGCAGTTAATATCATTTCACAACCAGTTCTTTTTTCCTTTAAATTCCCTTTTAATTTAAATTTAAATTAAGCCGCAATTAACCTTGATCTTCCTTTTTTCATTTCGACTTCAACTCAAACGCAAAAGATGTACTTTAATTTAAACCCCAATCAGCTTTTTGTTAATAATCCTGGACATTTGTCAAAAACATTAGGGGAAAACATTGACAAACAAACTTTGTTAAAGCTTTATATAAGGCATTGATTGAGATAAAAAGTCAGTGTCACGAGCGGGATTCGAACCCACGACTTTTATTTTATTTGTCACGATAGCTCAAGTGGTAGAGCAGCGGCGTATTCAGCCCAAGGTCGTGGGTTCGAATCCCGCTTGTGACACTGACTTTTTTATCACAACCAATACATAAAGATTAGTTAATTAAAATAAGTTATTTGGTCTGTCGGACCACGAAATCTAATGGATCTGTTAAAGCTGGACGGTAGAAGACGATGAACACAAAAATATAACAAATTTAAAATCTTCTACCAATCCAAATATTATCTTGAAAATATAAATACCTACGTTCAAGTCCACAATGAAGTAAAAATAGTAGAAATAAGTTCACTAATTTCGTGGTCCGCTTGACCATTTAATATATTACCATTAATTAAGGTTTTTAGTTGAGATAAAAAAGTCAATGGCACGAGCGGGATTCGAACCCACGATTTTCGGCTTGATACGCCGCTGCTCTACCACTTGAACTATGGTGGTAGAGCAGCAGCGTATCAAGCCGAAGATCGTGGGTTCGAATCTCGCTCGTGCCATTGACTTTTTTATCTCAACTAAAAACCTTAATTAATTGTAGAAATGAGGTTAAATCAAAATTCTACATCATTTTCTAAACACACTCATTCATGTAATAACATCCCCAATTTCTATAAACCAATAGATACACACAATTTTCATTATTTGTACCAACGTCATAACAAACAATTACTAAACCGAAATTGTCATTCCTACCCACGGTTTACTTCCAATGCATTATTATAACAGTTTAACTATCCAATAGTACAATTACTCGAATTAACATTTATTATAACATATAAATAAAATTTATACGTGTAGCTTCATTTCCCAAAGCAAATTAGTGGTACAACATGATGTTATGTTGGTAAGAAAAATATTTTCTTTATCGAGCCAACGTTTCGATCTTTGTTGAGATCATCTTCAGGGCGGTAAAAGTTCATATTCATATAATTTAAACAATATTTATAAATCCAAGGCCATTAAGCCAGTACTGGATAGTTAAACTGTTATAAAAATCCTT